GTGGAGTGTGTGGAGGGTGACCCTGTGCGTGCTGATGATCAAGCTGGCTGTGTGATCACTTCTTCACAGAGACAGGGACCGGGAGGAGCGGGCTTCTGTCCCCAGGTTCACACCGCTGGCCTGCGGTTGCCCAAGAGAGGCTCCGGGCGTCCCCCTGCCGATGACACGCTGACAGCTCGGGCGGCTGCAGGAACCCTCGGGGCCGTGTCGGTTGGAAAGGGCTGAGCGGGCTGTAAACAGCGGAATGACCTGCTCGTGGTGCGGTGACGTGAGGGCCCAGCCCTTCCACCCCCCCCCAGCTTCCTGGGGCGCCGCAGGCCTCAGGGTTTTCTGACTGTGACCAGGAGGGACCTAAGGGACGGAGGTGCCCAGGAACGGCGCTGGGCACAGGCCCTCGCACTTCCCAGGGCCCCGTGACGCCTCCTTCCTGCGGGCGGAGGGACACAGGTGTCCGGCTCCGTACCTGACCGCCGTGCGTGGCCCTGTGAGCTCACGTCTGCTCCCTCGTGCGGCCCCTGGAATGAGGTCCCCGTCGCCTCCTCGCGGCACCCGGCACAGGGCCCAGGAGTGAGGGGGCTGCGCTGCTCAGGAGCCGGCGCGGAGCCGGAGTGTCCCTGGCCCGCCACACGCATGAGTCCTCCCGTCCACTGAGGCCCCGGGGGTGTTGCCGCTGTCTGCTCACCCTGCCCTGCGGGTCCTCAGACTCCGTCCTCACCCACTAGGTCGCCCTCCATCCCAGCTCCTCATGCCAGCTGTGTTCTTAGACTGTTTGATGTTCTGGCGTTTGGGGGCCTTGCAGACCTGGGAGACACGGCCCCTCACCCAGGGCCACCTGCTCCCTAAGAAGAAGAAAACAAGTCGCTTGGAGCTGCCTCTTGTACACAAGCATCACGCACCCGGCCAGCGTCCCCCTGCCTGGCTTCCAGTGCCAGGCGAGCAGAGGCCACACCCTGCACCCAGGGCCCGCCGTCATGCCTCAGGTTGGCCAGTCCTAGCCTGTCAGCTGTCTAGCCGTTTCCCCAACGGACATGCTGCGGCCTCATGCCTTCTGCCTCCCAAACGCATCCCCCGTGGCCTGGCTGCTCCCTGCTGGCTCAGGCACCTCCACCCCAGGGGTGCAGATGAGACACCCCACCACCACCCCGTGTTGCTCCATCCTGTGGGAGGCTCAACACCGTCCAAGATGCCGTCACCGTCTCCCCAAGGCCAGCTGTCCAGGTCCCGACAGGGCAAGGTCACAGAAATGCCTCAGTGGGCACACGTGGCTTTCCAGAGCCACGGCCCCTGTTCTCAGGCCAAGGACAGGTCCCAGCCACACTTTTGATCTCACGTGCCTCATCGCACAAAGCGTTCTCTTAGGATAGTCCTGAAAATGACTACTCGATCCATATTCGAACGTGTTCCGTTGGGACAAAATTACTTCTTTTCCAAAAGCAAGCCTATGCCAGGGGGCCAGTATTTAACGAAGGTCCCTGACAGACTGGGGGACCGCCCCGCTGGTGACCTCAGGCCCAGGCTCTGCTGGGTCAGACCCGCCCTCCCTGAGCTCAGGGCCCAGGAAGTCCAGCCGAGAAGAAGGGACATGTCTCGCAGGGAGTCTGACAGGACGGCCACGCTCTCACGGCAAATCCAGCCCACAGTCGCCTCGGACGTGTGTCAGGAATGGACGTGTGTGGGGTCATTCAGTCCCAGAGAACAAAGAAAAGACAGGAGCCAGGCGTCATGGGTTTCATGGGGGCACAGAGGGCCTTTCGATACGTTATCGGATGGGGCGCTGTTCCCAGAACTTATTAAAGAAAATGAAACTGCGCCTGCCTCCTGCCGTTCACTTTGCTGCTCGTCGGGGACCTGCTCCAAGTTCCAGGGCTGGTGCTATCTTTAGCCCCTGTGCGGACACGAAGCAAAGGTTCGGGGTTTCGTTTTAAAGAGGCCTCTCCGAGACACATCTTGGAGGGATGGGCTCCTGCTGGGGGACTTGGGGCTGCACGTGTGCACCACCCACTGTGGAGGGGACCAAGCTCACTCCCGTGACGTCTCCACGACACCCAAGGGCTACATACTGCCCAGGAAATGCCTGCGCTCGAACCACGGTCACGATGGCAGTCTCGGCCCTGTGCCAGCCACCTCTGTACTGTTCCTCATTCAAGGACAAGGTGGGGCACGGTCCTCTGATGACTGCCTCCCTCCCGCCCACATGGGGCTGTCCTCAGGGCCTGGGCCCCTGTGGGCACAGTGCACCCCGGAACTGCAAGGGGAGAAGCCAATCTGAAGAAAGAGGGGTCTTAGGAGTCTGGGGATTGAGGGGTGGGGAGCGGTCTTATGCCGGCTGCCCCCGGGAAGCCACTCACTCTGGACCCTCTGCCTTCTCCTGAGCCCTCCAGCCCTCTTTCTGGGGTCCACGAGCCCCAGCCTTCGCACTAGGATCCCCTGAGACCCGCCTGGTCCTCCACGCCCGGCTGTGCCATGGCCCTGCAGTGCTGCCTGGACCCTGTGGTCAGCAGGCTGTGCCTGAGGCCACCTTGGGACTGAGGCGTCTCCTCCCTTCTGGGTCCTCGGGCAGGGACCCTGGGAGTGTGGAGGGGACAGTGGGCAGTGGGCGGTTTGAGGAGAGCAGAGGACAGAGAGCAGAAGCCCACAGCCTTACTTGCATCTCCCAGCCGGACCAGGAGGCCCTGGGAGTGGAGCAGGTGATGCCGGGAGGAAGTGGGTGTCCCTGGTCATGGGAGGGCTTAAGGGGCCTCATGGGAATGTGGGACACAGGCTGGCGAGTGGACGGGGCTGGATGCCGGGAGGCCGGCGGGCACCTCCACCGCCCATCGAGGTCTCCTCAAAGCCCGGCTCTCGGACCCCGTTCCCTATGTCCCCAGCTTCTGGAGGCTTCCAGTAGTGCTGGCCTCATGGCCCGTGACCCACCTGCAAAGCTTCGTCTGACTGAAGCCTGGTTGTGCCACCACATCTGTGGCAGCGCCTCCTGCCTCCCTCCTCAGGTCCCTGTGACAGGTGCGCCCAGCGCGTAATGCAGAGTGACTGCCCGTTTCAGGATCCTTTACGTGATTGTCGTGATTGTCTGCAAAGTCTTTTTGCCCATTAAGGTAATAAATCACAGGCTCAGAGAATTAGGACAGGGACATGTTTGGGGGCATTATTCTACCCCACGGGGATGAGGACGTGGGCCCCTCTGGGACATTATCCTGTCTGGCACAGCTCTGCAAACAGTGTGCACTGGGTGGCTGCGTTGGGAAGCCCAGCTTCGGACGGTTTGGGTGGCAGCAGGCTTGGGGACAGCATGCGGGCGTGGTGCAGCCTGTGGGCTACGTGTGCGTCACAGCAGCTGAGAAAACAAGGAGTGTGCTGGGCTGTCTGGGGAGGTTACACACCCCCCTCCTGCCGGCTCAGCAGGCAGCTCACTTTCCTGTTATCGCCGAGTGACAAAGTCCTAGGACAACTCAAGGCACACGCCCCTGACGGCGGAAACCAGTCTCAGGAGAAGGGTGAGGTGGACCTCGTGATGGAGGGCAGCAGGGAGCACTCTGTTCATGTGAGCAGGTCCCCTAGAACCTGCCCCTGCAGGACCCCGTCCCCCTGGGAAGCGCAATTTCATGCAAAGCCGGGGCCCAGCGGCCAGTGCCACGTCCCAGGGCGTCTGTCCCGGAGGCCCTGCATCCCTGGCACCGGGGAGGCATCCAGCCTCTCTCTTGTGCAGCTTTGCTCCAGGACATGACCCCGGTGTCTGCGATGCCCCCAGCTGTACACTTCCCGCAGTGCAGTCGAGTGACCAGTGAGTGTGCTGGGTGGGTGTGCCTGGCTCTGTGACTGCGAGTCGCCTCCTGTCTCGCAGTCTCCTGATGGCTGCCGGACACGCAGTGTCAGCTGGCTTCTGCTCAGTCAGTGCCGCACGTGCTCATTGTCCGCTGCCTTTGCCAGGAGACCCCACTTTGTCAGTTGCTCTGACACTGGCAGGGCGGAGCAGGGGTGGCCACCACCACACGCCCCGCAGAGTGCGGTAGGGGAGAACCAGGAGGCTGGCTCCCAAGCAGGGACCAAGCTTTTCACGTGTCGTCGCTGAAACTTCTGGAAGTCCACCCACTCGACGCGCTGAGTGACCATCAACCCGGAACCGCTAAGTGGCGCCCCACGCGCCTGCCTGCTCCTGAGGCTCCAACCGCGCAGTCCCCAGGCCGCCAGGGTCCTGTCATTGTGGAAAGAGCTTCCGGAACTTGCCGTAGGCGGCGTTGCTGATGATGACGGTGACATCGGCCACGCCCGCCTCCGGGGCCACATGCACGTCCTGCACGGTGGCCTCCCTGTGCAGCCAGCTGAGGGGGAGGGGCGGGAAGAGCGAAGGCTGCAGCCCTAACGGGTACCGTGGACCGGAGGTCCTCGGCTGTCCTCACTGCGGGCACTACTGCCACCAGCCCTGCGGCGACGTCGGCCTGGGCAGTGAGTAATTAGCTCTGACTGGCGGCCGCCACGCTGGCCACTCGGAAACACTCAGCTCGCCGGCGACCCCACACGCTGAGGGCCCGCACCGCCACCCCAGGCGCCGCCGCCTCGCGCGCCTGATGCACCTGAGCTGCGCCCCCGC